TAGAGTCCACAGATCTGGTGAGGGCTGTCCCACAGGCTTAGAGTCCATGGGTCTGGTGTTGGCTGTCTCATAGGCTTAGAGTCCACGGATCTGGTGATGGCTGTCCCACAGGCTTAGAGCCCACAAACCTGGTGATGGCTGTCCCACAGGTTTAGTCCACAGACCTGGTGTTGGCTGTCTCACAGGTTTAGATTCCACAGATCTGGTGAGGGCTGTCTTACAGGCTTAGAGTCCACGGATCTGGTGAGGGCTGTCTCACAGGCTTAGAGTTTGTTGATGAAGGTGCTCTAAGAGCCTCAGCTCCCCACCTCCATGTCATCAACTTTACTCTCAACCCGTCTACTGTCACTATTGCTTCTCCTCTGTTCTGTCACTTTTCCTCTTTTGGTGTTGACTCTCTCTGATGACAGCTGACCTCTCTGTTTTCAAACCATTGCTGGAGAGACCAAATGGTTGTGTAATCTTAAATCCTGGTAAGCACAAGTGCCACTGTCACTTTATATGAATTTAGCTTTGTCATTTGGAAGGCTCAGGACTGTGCTGATAACAGGGTCAACCACACTCAGCGACCACGGCAATGCCAGCACCCTATCACATGTTACCACCACCATCACTACCGCCACCAAAAATGCCACCTTTAAGGACGTAATCACGTTTTCTTGTCACTGGGAGGCCATATTATTCGGGCCTTTTGGGGACTATTCCTATCCCAGAGGCACTGAAGGTGCAAGGCCATTGAAATTCAAAGGGTGACGGCCCAGTCTCAAGAGCACTGCTCTTGCAGAGGCCCAGAGTTCAGTTCCCAAACCCCATGTTGTGCAGCTCATGCCCATCTGTAACACCAGCTCCAGGAGAGCCAGCCTATGCACTCTTCAGGCCTCCATGGGCACTACACTCTACACACACACACACACACACACACTCACACACACACACACTCACACACACGTGCACGCGCATACACACTCACAATACACTCTCACACACACTCATACACACACACTCTCACACACATGCACACGCACACACACAATACACTCTCTCACATACATTCATACACACACACTCATACTCACACACGCACACACACATACACGCGCATACACACAATCTTAAACTGCTTTAAAAACAAGAAGGAAGGGATTGCCTTCGAGATTCACAAGGCATCTGGTTCAAGATAAATTCCCAGATTCTTTGGCATTTCCTTCTCTGTGCCTTTGTGCTTCCACCGTCACTCTGCCTGCTAAGGTGCAAAGAGGAGAAGGCACAGGGGATTGCAAACCCATGGAGTCTTCACTCTGAACCCCAGTCCCTCATGTACACTGTGCAGATGTGCACAGTCATGTGTGTGTGTGTATACATATACATATATATATATATACATATACACATACATACATGCAAATCCCATGGAGTCTTCATTCTGAACCCCAGTCCCTCAGTACACTGTGTAAATGTGCACGGGCATGTATACATATGCCCTTCCTCCCTACCTCTAGACCTGGATTCTTTGGGATATTTTGATGCAAAGGATGACTTTAACTCAAAATGGCTTAAAAACAAGAACACTGATGGCCAGGTAGGAGACAACACCATTGTCATCCAAACTAGGAAGTTTTTGTTCTTGCCAGATACAACAGGGGATGGTGTGCTGGCACAGACCAAACAGGTATGAATCTAGCAAAGCCAGCGTGTAGCCGGGCATAGTCCTCCTCTGCGTCAAGATGTCTTTAGACAAGACAACTGCAGAATGAACTGCAGGACTCAGAGATTCTGAATCTCCCAGCACATCAGGGACTGGCTTCCGGGTCCTATTCTTTTTCATTCTCTTTTCAAGATGGCTGAAGAAGACACCCGCCTTGACAACAGTGTCAACTTTGGAAAATGAAGATATCTCTTCCCAGGAGCTTCTCTCCGATTCCCCATCGTGGTTAGAACCATGTCGGGTGATCTTGCTTCAGTCGCTGACAAGGACCAGGGTGTTACTGTGGTTGATTTTCTTCCCTTGGAGATGCCAGTGGTATAGTTTAGCTTCAGGTATTTAGTTGTGGAAGGGTCTGCGTGTGGCCTGAAGAGCCCAAGTCAAGAAGCTGGGTGTGGTGGCTCATCCTTATAATCTCTGCAATGGGGAGGCAGAGGCAGGCAGATCTGAGCTGGCTGGCCAGCCTAGCCTGGGGGAGTTCCAGGCCAGTGAGAAACGCTTCATCAAAAATCAAGGTGTCCCTGACTGCAAAACCCCCAAGGTGGATGGCACCTGAGAAGTGTCACCCAAAGTTGGCCTCCACATACATGCGCACACACAAACATGCACATACACACACCATTTAGCTCTTAAGAGAGTGAGTAGATTGGAATTCTGTGGCAAACATGGTTGGGCAACTGTTGGCTATGTATTCAATCCAGAGGGGTCACCACACACTCACCTGCTCTAGCGGGTTCTCTCCTGGGGTATCCCTTGAGAGAGAAATCAAAATGCCACATACACATCTCCAGGCTAACGTTTCAAGGCTAAACTTTCTATGCACACACTGAAAGACCCTGGCATCCTATCCTAGCTTACTTCCTACTGCTGTGATAAAGATCTTAACCTAAAGCAACGTGGGGAGGAAAGGGTTTATTTGGCTTATGCATTCTGAGTCACAGTCCACGGAGGGAAGACAAGGCATGAAGTCAAGGCCAGAACCAGGAGGCAGGAACTGAAGCAGACTTCATAGGTGTGTACTGATTACTGGCTTGCTCATCCTGTTTTCTTATACAATGCAGACCGCTTGCTCAGAGATGATACCAGCCATACCACATCAATCATCAATCAAGAAAATGTACCACAGGCTTGCCTATGGGCCAGTCGAATGGAGGTATTTTTGCAATTGAAGATCTTTCTTTCCAGATGAGCCTCCAGATTCCATGATGGTCCTGTCTCACTGGTAATGCAGATATGAGGGGTCCTCTTTCCTGACAGCAGCCGGAGTCCAGAGGTTGACATGCTGGTGGCTGGTCTGTATTCTCAAACCAGAGTTCAGGGTTTGTCAGTGCTTTACTTCTGGTCTCGGGAGGTTCGTCTGCTCAGGGAGGGAGCAGAAATCAGGCCCTTCTGTTTGTAAGGTCTGCTGATGCTGCTGTACAATGGTGGTCTCAAAATTCAAAGCAGATTTTCCCGTGTGGGATGGAAGGTGGATGTGACTATCCCCTGTGAAAGCATACCCTTTGTGACTGGATGCGGAGGACTGGAACCGGCTAGGCTGTAATCTGGGACCCTCTATGTTTCTTCTGCAGAACAGAATATAGGAATATAGGAATATACAAGCAGAGAATAACATGAGAATAACAAGAATAACAAGAGAGACAACTTGAAACATTGTAATTGATTTTTTTCTCCCTAAAGGAATGAAGAGAGATGTAGAAAGGAGAAAATATTGTTAGACTTTGGTATTTTTGAACCAGTTTATAAATCTTAATCATAATATGAAAACTTTGCCTGCGCTTCATAACCAGTTCCCCGACATCAGGGAATGCCAGGCTGCCTTGGGGACTGCTGCCCTGCTCATCTCCAGTAAGTGGGGCGGGTGAGTGTGGGGAGCTTTAGTCAGCCTTGGTTTCTTCAAAAATGCTCTATTGGGAGCTGGAGAAACGGTTCAGTGGTTAGGAACATTGTGGAATTTGGGACTGGAGATGATCCTGGGCACCCACAAAAATTCCAGGTGGATGCCACAGAAGTTGGAGACAAAGGTTCCCCAGAACTGGCTAGGAAGACGAGCCCTATCTGTGAGCTCTGGGTTTGACTGAGAGACCTTGCCTCAATAAATGAGGTGAGAAAGCAGTTGAGGGTGATTCTGAACATCACCCTCAGGCCTCCGTATGCA